TGATACGTATTATCTATAGCTCAAGAATTTTATAGCCAAGGATGCCACCAAATTCCTAATACAAGGGAATATGGACCAGGAGGCTAATCAGAGAGGGATGAACCATGACATATTGAACCAGAAACTTCCCAGTAAACACAGCTCTGCTATAGGAAGTAGCCCCTGAGGGTGGGCTCCCTCCCCCAAAATCTACTGTTGTTGGAGTCACTCAAGGACTTGGACTACCTGTGTCCTAGATGACCAGGGAGCAAACACAGCTGAGAGTCTTATTGAAAGGAGAGGATTATGAATCTGCCACAGCCAAGGGTGGTCTTTTTAAAAAGCAGGCTAAATAAGCTTCTACTGAGTTAATACATGTAAAAAGGACCCAGTAAATGACTATATAAACGTTTATAAATACTGATATGGTGTTTAATTTGGTTCAACAATATTTATCGAGCACCATTCATATGCAAAGCACCGTAGATTCAAAGACATGTCATATCCTCAAGAAGTTTAACAGATTCAATATTATGGCAACACAGAAGTGGGAACTTAAGTCTGAAGGAGCCAGGAAAGGCTGTACTGAAGAGGAGACACTTGAATTGAATCTTAAGGTTTGGGTAAGAATCATCTAGCTGAAGAAGGAGCTGAGCAAAGGCAGAGGCATGAAATAGCGTGGAGTGTGTGTGTGACTAGAAGCAGTTGACAATGCTGGAGCCCAAAGTATGGGGCAGGGAAGAGTTATAGCATGACTTGATGGCACGGCATCTTGGACTTTGGCCTAAATGAATGGAGAGCTACTGAAGAACAGCTCTCCCTGGGAACCAAGGCAGAGGGAGAATTAGAAGGTGGGTGGCAGGAAGATTGAATATGCATTGGTTGAAGTAATCTAGGAGATGATGAAAGCCTATACAAGGAATGTATAAGTAGCAATAGGAATGTATAAGATGCATCAGATAGGCTATACTCCAGAAAAAAATGAAGGTATTGAATGATGTTATCTGAGGGGTGTGGTCTCCTGATCTAAATATTTCTCTCAGGGACTCTCCTCATGCCTGACACTTTCACCATCAGAGGTTCCTTCTGTAGGATCTTTAAGAGTCCCTTACTAAAACGGAGTTGATCGGTACCCTTTAGTGTTGGTCAGCTAGCATTAAGACAGATTATAAAAGTTTGCTGGGGGTAAAGAAGGGCTTGCAGGGTTGGGCAGGGCTAGTCATGAGGGGAGAAGCAAGGGACCCAAAGCAAAAACAAGGGACAAAAAGTTCAGGCTGCTAAAATGGACACAAAGAAACTTCACATGTCACCATTTTGGGTGGGCTGGCCCTGCTCCGCTACAAAATCAATTTGCAGTCAGCTTGGGTGCTCTGTACCAAAGTCTACATAAGAATAACAACGGTAAAATAAACCGTAGCAAAGAAAGAACTGTGATTTCTGAGCTAAGGAACACCATGTAGGGACAAATTAACCCAGAAATTGGGCCTTTAGAAAGTTGCTTAGCAATCAGGTCACCTCAGATCTTTTCCTCCTTGACTATAAGTGAAATATTGGCTAATGTATTTTCATTTCCACTAAGTGTTATGTTTAACTTGGAAATCTGACAAATACCAACAACTCTTGCCCCATAGTTCACAGTATTATGGGGAGAATCAAATGGGACAAAAAGAGGCAAAAGCTTTTGCATGCTATAAAGTGCTAAATGAGGGCCTAAGCAGCCCCTCTGGCTCCTAGGAGAAAAGAAGAGAGGTGGGAGCTCCGTGTCATGGCCCTTGCAAGGACTGCTCATCGGTGACGATCATAAAATTTTAGTCCTTCAAATGTTGATAAGCAGAGCCTATGGTACCTTAAAAACCTTGCCTAAGGATTAAAATTAACACACATTGTGAATTTAAAAGTACCATCTAAAAACAGACACTAATACCTTTTTAACAAATGAGCTCTTTCTATAAAACCAGCCTCTATAATGAAACTCTTTTGTCACAAATAAGCATGTAAACAGAGGAATTTATATATGAATAGATTATTAGAATCACATTTTATTAGAATTAAGAAAAGCTTAGATCATTTCTATAGACTGTCTTCCCAGCCTCCACTCCCCCGCCTTTCTTACAAAAGGGAAACCAAGGTAATGGTAGATCCCAGACTAAACTGAAGATTTCCTGACTCTTGGTCTAAGGCTCTTTTGTCTATAAAATAATTTTTAATAAAATATTTCAAACATAAATAAAAGCATAATAATAAACACCTAGATTTTCAAAATGTTAATATCATATGCCTCCAATCTTTTTTAAAAAAGAATTAAAACATTATATATCAGCAGATGATCCCCTTCCTCTATCCCATTCCCCTACCTCCTTCTCCAGAGGTAACCACCATATTGAGGTTATGGCATATTCCATCCTTCCTGTTCATATTTTTATTCACTACCAAATGATTATATATCCACAAACCACACCATGTTGTCACAGAAAGAGTTGGTGTTTAAAACAAGGAGGAGTCCCTCACTCTAGTATATTTGCATGCAGTTAAAACCTTCAAGGTTTGGCTGGATATTCCAAAAAGAAACTGGGGCAGAGCTTAGAGTCTTTTTTAATGATTATCTAATTACAGAAAGATCTAGTGAAGTGTCTTATTATTTAGAATGAGAAATAAATTGGGCAAATATAAAAATTTTACTACAACTTATTTTTATCCTTCTCAAGTTAGTGTTTCATATTTGTGAAACCCTTGTTTATAATGACCTGGTGTGAATGACCTGTCACTAAACAATAGGGAAAGATGGATTAAGCAATTTAACTAGTAATAATAGTTTCTGCTTTTGCTTCAAGGTCCAGCTCAAATGTCACCACCTTAATGAATCTGTCCTCGATTCCATCAGAATTAATTCCTTAAACAGTCATTTATTGAGTGCCAAAGCCCTGTAGATACAAAAGTAGATCAGACCCAGTTCCTGCCCAGAGCTCAGAAATAATTACACAATAGTGTTTGATAAATGCTCAAACAGAGGTATCCATCAAGGGTTAGTAGAGTCTAACTTTTCTTAGGGCAAGTGGAGAGGAGTTTACAGAGGAGTGATATTTGAGCTGTCTTGGAGTAGAAGGAGGAATTCACAAAACAGAAATTGGAAGGTCATTCCAGGCAGGGAGACATTGAATGAGAAGGTACAAGGATGGTAAGTTAATAGTGTTAGAAAGACAACTAAGGATAGACATTGGAAGTAGAGAGAGAAGTTAGACGACTGGCAACAAGTCCCGCAAAGGATGACATGATTGCAGGCATGCGTGGGATGGGGAAGGATTTTAACAAAATTCAGGAGATAAATTTAGTAGACCTTGATGCATGATTGTATGGCGGAAAGAAAGAACATGGAGGAGTTGGGGATGACTCCCAAAGCCTTGGCAAATGAGTGGGCAGGGAGGCCATTAACTAAAACAGGAAATACCATAGAGAAGATGAGAGCAGGCCTGAAAAGGGGGCTCAAGTTCCCTTTGAGGAATTTTGAGTTGGCACTGAGGCCTCTTCCATGAGGCCTTAAACGAGATTTTTCTTTCCTTTCAGTGGCCAGCAATCACCCCCTCCTCTGAGCTCCACAGCATACTGTATACATTGCCATATCAAATTATTTAAACCTGCTGTATTTCCAAGTTTGTCTCTACCTTAAGTCATGGAGAAAAGGTACCAGCTCTTGTTGGTCTGTCTGTGCCCTCATCTCAGAGCCTTGTGTACAAAAAGCCTTCAAAGTCTGCATTCTCGAAAAGGGAGCTCCATCACATGCTAGAAACTGTCAGTTAACGTTTATCAAAACAATGACCAAAGCTTGTGAGGTAGTGGCTTATATAAAATATCTCAAGTATTTGGCTCTACAGCACCTACTTTTAGCTCCCTTTGTGCTTATCTTATCTTACTTCTAAAGAACCCTGCAGGGTAGTAGTATTCCTATCTACGGATACAGCAACAGAAGGCCAGAGTGTCTGAATCACTCTCCTGGGCTCACAAGGTTTGCAAGTGGCTAAACCAGATTGGGACCGACTTGTTCCCGCACCACGCTGCCCCCACAGTCAGGCTGGTCTCACTGTCCTAGTTCTCAGTTGGGCTGAAAAGAGGACCTCCTTTGGCTCCCGAGGGGGCAGCACCCTCTGGATCGGCGAGCACCGCCTCACTCCTTCCATCCCAGCGACCGTCTAAAGCGCGCACAGGGGCACGTCCGCTGCAGCCCGCAGAGCTGAAAGGGGCCGGAGGTCTGGGACCCAGCATTTCGCAGTGTTAACTCTACGGAGGCCGTGAGATCGCTTGACCTTTCACTCCAGCACGTCAGCTCAGCCCAGGCTCCGACTCCGGGGCCTGGGGTGGGCGCGCGGCGCGGCAGCGGCCAGACTCCGAGCCCGGCCCCTCGGGATTATAAATTCTCAGAGATAAAGGCAGTGCAGCTACCGCCTTTGGGACGCCGAAACTCGTCCCGTACCTTCCTCCGCAGTCCCGCGGTGGGCCGGCACGGCGGCTGCCTCCATTCTGCGGGCGGGAGACCAGGTCGCGGCGGGAACCCGCCCCGCGACGGCCTGAAGGGGCGGCGGCGGCGCCGCGGCGGGAGGCCCTTACCTCAGACCCGCGCCACAGCCTCCCGGGGGCCGCGCCCAGGCCTCCCTCACCGCCGATGCAGGTTCTCGTCCCGCCCCGACACCTCGAGGCAGCAACCTGAAGGCGAGGGGGCGAGCCGGGGCACGAGAACGGCCGTGAGACCAGCCTGAGAGCGTCGGGCCTGGCCCGTGGCGTGCAGCAGAGGCGGGAGGGCTGGGGGCTGTCCCATCGGTGGAGGGGGCGTGTCCCGGCGCGTGCCGCAGAGGATGCGAAGGGCAAGGGGCGGTCCCACTGCGAGGCTCTGGAGCGCTGATTGGCTGCGTGCCGCGGAGGCGCGAGAAGGGGGCGTGTCCTCACGTAAGCCCTCCAGGGATGGAGGGCGAGCTTGTCAAGCCGAGGGGGCGTGCGCGGGCCTGGCCGTCGCCTGCTCCTCCTTCTCTTCTTTCTAGGGACAAAGGGCAGGCAGTTAGTCTGTGGACATCTGCGGTTGCGGACTCAAGCCATGGCGGGGGCTGAATGGGAGTCGCTGGAGCAGTGCTTGGAGAAGCACCTGCCGCCCGCAGACTTGCGGGAGGTGAAACGGATTCTCTATGGCAAGGAGATCAGGTCTGGGGCCCAGAGGCTGGGAGGGTGGGGAGACCTTGGGGCCAGCTAGTGGGGTCTGGGGGACCAGGGAAAGTGCTTCAGGATCTGAAGGGCTCCGAGAGGGCAGTGATGAAGTCCTGAGTGGGCGAAAAGAGACTACAGGAAGTCTAGATGTGACGGCTCTGGGGTTGCACAACGCGGGGGTGACCTTTGCAAGCCACTTCTCCCGCAGTTGCCGGGAACCGGAAGGGAAAGGACCGGGTTTTTACTCTCCGGGGCTTTCTCTGTGGCCACCTAACTCTCCTTCCCTGCTTCCCGTGACCGGCTTCCTCCCCAGAGCCAGGCCTTTACTCTGGGTATCTGTCTGGGTCAGTGCCTCCAGCCAAAGCCCCCAGCAGGTCAACTGATTGTCTAGTCCTGCCCTTCCTTACTGCAGTGACCAAGCCTCTGGTGGACCCTTGGAGGTAGAGGCTGGATGAATCTGGTTGGGGAAGGAACCTTTCCCACTGGCAGTCCGCAGGAGTTAGTTACCACGCTCAGTGCAAATGTTTTTCCACTCCCAGCCAGTCGTGTGCATCACTAGGACTTCCTGAGGGCAGTGCCCTGCTGGGCACGGGGTATCCAAAGCTGGAAGACACTTCTACTCTTGTTCCGCTCTTGTTTCTCTTCAGTCCACTGTCCAGGAAGAGGAAGAATCCCCCTCCACTCTTTCCCTTAAGGTTCTTGTGGCTGGCCAAATAATTAAAAGACAGGTTAGCAGAAGAAAATAATACCAAGTTTAATAACATGTATACATGGGAGAAACCAGAGAAACTGAGTTTCTCAACACAATAGCGGTGATTCTCATCTTAAATACCATCTTCAGCTAAAGACAAAGGAGGATGTTGGGGGTGGGGAGGGAGACAGAAGGGAGACAGAAATTACAGTAATCAAGGGTATGCAGATTTAAGGCCACACCTTCCACATTGATAAGTTTCTAGAAATGAGGTCATCCCCCCCTTCCCAGTACAGAGAGGGAGATACCTTACAAATGGAGATTTCCCTTATAAATGTAAATGTTTGTCTGGCAACTCTTTGCAGGGCCACCTAGAGAATGTCGCCCAGGAGAGACAGAATTTTTGATAAGATGGGCTTATTGGTGCCTTTCCTATTGTAACATCTATTTTACATGATATTACAGCCACCATATGGTAGTAACTCCTTCCTGAAATAGGTCTTCTATGTTAAATTCTTTAGGCAGTTTGGGGGAGGTCAAATGTCCGTCAGAGAAAATAATCAAGGTAAAGAGACATATTTCACGGTGGCCAATTTTGATCTCCCATACCACTTTTCTCAAAGCAACCAGAAAATGTAAATCATATCTTGTTGCTCCTTTGCGTAAAACTCTATAAGGGATTCCCAAGACTCTTAGAATGAAATCCAAACTCGGACCACATGCAGCTCCTGACTAAATGTCCTTTCACTTCCTTGCCCATTTGCAGGCTCCCCGGGTCCAACCAGATTGTGTGTTCCCTGACCTTGTGGCAGTGACCTTGAGGCAGGAGCCTGATCAACTCACCTGAAACTCTAGGGTGTTAATTGGATTAGTGGTTCCCAGCTACTGGCTGCTGTGGAGTTAACTGTAGGGAGGCCAGAGCTCAGATCCGAAGGTGTTTTCACAGCTAGTGGATGAAAAAGGTAAAACAACTGCTTTTGGGAGTGGGAGTGGTACAGAACTTTATCGAAAAGAGCTCTTCATACTCAAGAAGGGGTACCTGGGACTGGATGACCTTCAAGGCCCCTATGGTGCACTCATGCTGGACTACTACTTTCCACTGCACCCGTAAAGGCTTGTCACGGGGGAAGCCTCTTCGAATTGAATCTCCCAAAGAAGGTGTCTTAAAGCAAGGGGCTGTGAGGTGGTCTCGGGCTACAGTTTCTAGGGATGGGAATAGGTTTGTTTTAGGGGTGAGGTGGGCATATTCTCCTGGGAAAAAGATGGAGAGAGTTCATGAGTGTCAGGAGGAGGGAAAGCACAAGTGTCTTAGGAAAAAGAGAAATAAGTTTCCCACATAGGTGTCTGGCTGGGGCACATTCTAGAGATTAGGGTAAGAACTACTTTGCACGAGGGACTTTATGTAAGCATTTGGATCGCTCCAGAGTGGGGAGGGATTCTAATGGGTGGTAAAATGGGAGCCAAATTCCATTGACTAATGACTACTGGGCCTCATCCTGGGGCTTGGCTCCCAATAACTGAATAGGTAGCCCCACCTTTCCTCTGTTTTTCCTATTCCCTTTTCTTGGTTCTGTTCCACTCAGCACTGGGCCCTTCCAGGCTTTGCCTCTATGGTATAAACCTTTGTCCTTGTCATTGGGTGGGATTTGGCTATGAACAGAATTGCAAACTGAAGACAGAAAATTATTAGTCATTTAAAACCCTTCTCCCACTCAAACCCCTGCTCATTCCTCACAGCTTGCCTCAGAGCCACCTCTGTGAAGGCTTGGTGGAACTGAGTCCTCAGCCCCTTCCCTGGACTCCTACTGTGCTCCACACAAGACCAACTTCTCTCCTGATTACTTGCTGTATCTGATGAGGAGTAGATTCAGGGAAGGCTGAGTTGAATTTGGGATGCTGTTAGTTTCCTAGGGCTGGTGTAACAAATTACCACAGACTGGGTGGTTTTAACCAAAAGAGACTTATTCTCACAATTCTGAAGACCAGAAGTACAAAGTAAGGTGTTGACAGGGCCACACTCCTCCAAAGGCTCTGGGGGAGAATCCTGCTTTGCCTTTTCTAATTTCTGGTGGCTTCTGGCATTCCTTGGCTTGTGGCAGCATCACTCCAATCTCTGCCTCCATCTTCATGTGGTCTTCTCCTCTTTTCCTTATGTCTCTCCTCTGGGCATCTCTTATAAGAACACTTGTCACTGAATTTAGGGCTCACTCGGATAATCCAGGGTAGTCTTTATCTTGAGATCCTTAAGTACATTTGCAAAGATCCTTTTTCCAAATAAGGTCCCATTCTTAGGTTCTGGGTATTAGGACATATCAGTTCAACTCACTACAGGGACCATGTGGAGGTGGGCCTGGAGGGAGGAAGCTGGGCTTGGGATTTGTCCTCAGATGGTCATTCCAGATGCAAGAGGAAGGAGTGCAAAGTGGGAGAGGCCCCAGTGGGATTCTGGAGAACCCAATGTTAAAGGGGTCAGAGGAAGTGGATACTTGTGGGAGAGTCCAGAAGTGAGGCTGTGGGGGTGGGAGGACCCTAGAGCTGGTAGCAAGGATGCTGAGTGGGACAGGGACAGAGTGTCAGATGGTGCAGGGCGGTCTAGTAGGATGAAGGCAGCAGGGAGTCCACTGGCTTTAGCAACCAGAAGGCTGGTGGCATTTCGAGGTGTGGAGTGGGGACCAGGGAACAGGGGGCTGAAGAAGGTGTGAGATGTGAGGGCTGCGGGGAAGCTCCCTTGGGAGGGGAGGGTAGAGAGAGCAAGAGAGGTAACAAGAGGGACCTGCGTAGAGCACACGTTCCCTTCTTTTTTTTCTGTTTTTTTTTTTGTTGTTTTTTTTTAATGGGAGAGATTCAAACAGCTTTAATGGTGGATGTGGTAGTTCTGTAGGAGACAGAGATGTCCAAGCTCTGTATATTGTTAAGTGAAAAGGGCAAGTGTAAAAGCAGAATATACAGAAGGGTGACGTTGTATGTGTAACACACACACATATAGAAAAATATTAGAAAGATACATAAAACATTGTTAAGCGGGGTCATCTCTGAGGTTCGGGACTGGAGCTTAGAGGGGGATGAAGAGGGGAATTCATTTTTCATTTGATACCCTTTTCCATTGTTTGATTTTTTTCCCCCAAGAGCATGTTTCTTTTGTAACAAATCTCTAGTTTAGTTATTTAAAACGCTGATGGTAAAGAGCCATTAGAGGGGGAAAGATGAAGTTCCAGAAAGGAGAGGTTATGGAGGAGGTAGGGGCTGGGCTCCCTTGGGTGAGGTCTGCCTTGACCCCTGGTGGGATACGTCGGGGGCTGGGGGAAGGGCCAGGAGGGTGAGTTGGGCCAGAACAGGGAGTGATGGGCTTTCCTCCTTGAAGTTGGAGGTGAGGCCACGAGGGATGGGGGCATTTGTAGCAGTATGAGGGGCAAAGGGGTGAAAGCCAACTATAGGGACCAAGGAAAGATTTAATGCAGCCTGGAGGACACCCCCCTGCTCCCCGCGCCGTGTGAGGTTGTGGCTCATTTGCTGGTCTCTGCCCCTCCTGGGCCATGGCTGGTCTGTGCCCCACCTCATCCCTGTGCCAAGCCTTTGGTGGGCACAGCACATGTTTATGGAATGGAGCTCCAGGTCGGTTGGGTTCTCTAAGATTAAGCAGGGCAGGATGTGGTGATGGACTGCCTGGATGACAGCAGGGCAGGGACTCCTTGCAGGCGGCGACCAGACAGTAGGGGCCTGCTGAGGAGAGGTAGAGCCCCGAAGGCAGCACTCCACAAGGGTGAAGAGGGTGAAGTGGCCTGGCCTGTGTCGCCTCGGGCCGAGAGGGTGAAGTGGCCTGGCCTGCGTCGCCTCGGGCCTAGGAGAGTAAGTGTCCGGGGGGAGCTGGGGTGGGGGGCTGGAGACAGCACTCAGCATAGACAGGGAGGAGGCAGGGAGGTTGTGCATTGTGGAATAATGGAGCTGATGGTGGTGGAAAGATGGGGAGAGTGGATAGCTGTGGGCAGTGGATGGGGAAAGACGGTCAGAGGCTGAGGGCAGGCCCGCCAGGATCACTCCCACAGGGCAGTCCAGCTCCCTGGCCCTCAGGCCTAAGGGGAAACAGACACAAAGTCCTTCTCCTTCTTCTCCTGTCCACCCTGGTGACTTGCCCTGGGGCCAAGGCCTGCTGGGGGGCGCCCTCCGGCTGAGGGCTGGAGAACGGTCTTAGGCAGTCACGGCAACAGGAGGCACGGTGTGGGCACTGCTGCTATTTCTAACCTGCTGAAGTGAACGGAACCCTGACTAGTTGAAAAGCAGGCTGATTGTCAGGGGCGGAACCCAACTTGGAGCTGTCAGGGCTGTCACATGGAAACTGCCTGGCAGGGGGCGGCGACAGGGGGCTTGGGCTGACAGGGCTGTGATTTTTTAAAGAAATGTCTTTAAGAAAGTGACTTAAAGTAGGAGAGAAATATTATTATTAGATAATGGCTGTCAGGTTATTTTTTGATGTGTTCTCTGGGTATTTCATAACCATCTCGCCCTTAGATGGTAAGGCCTTCCTGGCCAGGGGCCATGTCCTGTGCTCCTGTGGGTTTCACACCAGACACGCAACAGGCATCAGGAGGTGTTTGCTGTTTGGCCAGTGGTCACTTCGGTGGGAGAGTTTATAAATGATCCACTTGCTTTTGTTAATAAACTACAAACCAGCATGAGCACTTGGGACTTTGGTCTGAACACCTGGACCCTGCCAGGCCCACCCAGCACCAGGCATGGAACTGCCTCCTCCCCCAGTGGGAGCAGCAGCAGGACAGGGCGGTGGGAATCACCCGAGACTTGTAATCCTTAGTGGTGAATGGCCACAGGACCCTCCATCATGCTGTTAGTCCTGGCCTCCCCACCCAGCAGGACCCTCCCTCATGCTGTTAGTCCTGGCCTCCCCACCCAGCAGGACCCT